TAACAAGGCTGTCATCATCAGCATAGCTCAGAGGACCCAATGTGATCTGTCCCTGACTGCTTCTTCAGCCTTCTTTCTCCTCCCCTATCTGAGGGCCCTATTACCCAACCGTGGTAAATTTCCTTAAATCCATTAGGACCTTATTATTTTCATTTTTACTTCTAGGTCTTTGTAATGTTCTAGGCTCTCTATTCCATCACCTCCCCACCAACACCTCAAGGTGACTAATTTTTGCTCATCAAGTCTCAATTCAGACCTTGCTTTTCTAAGGCATTTCAGATGGCAAGCAAAGTAAATATTGTATATATTGTGTGATAAAGCATGTTTTTTTTAAAAATTCAGACCTCTCTTCCTCTAGGAATTGTTCTCTGACCCTTAAGACTGGGGTAGGTTTTCTGTAGCATGCTCCTTGCATGCCCCTAATGGGGGTTTTCCGACTGTGTTGTAAAAAACTATTGATTTGATTGCTCCTCTTTTCCCCTAGACTGAAAGCTCCTTCAGGCAGACATAGAATCTGGCCAACATCTGACCTCATGAGGTACACCAAGCTAGAACTGCCCGGTCAAGCTGCTCCCAAATTCCTCATTTATAACAATGGTGAGGTAATAAATTATTGTTGTTGTCTTAAATCACTAATTTGTTATGCAATAATAGATAACTGATACACTATCAAAACTGTTTTTTAAAAAAACCCTTTGTTATATCTCAAAGATCCCATAGATTAGTAACTGGTGATCTCTTGTTCCTTATGACATGGGCGGGTAGGAAGATCCAATATGACTTCATTCATATATGTGGCATTCTGTGGGCTAGAAGGTAGACTCAGCTAGAAGAGCTGACTTTAATGCCTATTTTTGGCCTCTTCAGCATGGTTACCCCATAGTAGTTGGACTTTTTATATGGCAGCGCATGGCATCCAAAGCAAGAATCCAAAAGAGTCAGGAGGAATTGTCATGACTTTTTATGATCTAGCTTCAGAAATAACACAAGAGTAATTGCCACCATACTCTGCTGGTTGAAGCAGTAACAAGATCATCAGGATTCAAGGAGAGGGAACAATGACTCCATCTCTTAATGAGAAGATATCAAAAAATGTGAAGCTATTTTGTAAGAATTAACAATATAGAGTTATAATAAAATGTACACATTTTAAATGTATAGTTCAATGAATTTTAACAAATGCAAACACTCTAGTTACCACCATCACAATCAAAATATAGAGTATTACCTTTCTCCCAAAAAGTCCTCTTCTGTCCCCTTGCAGTAATCCCCTCACCCACCTCTCTGCAGTAGGCAAACACTGATCTGCTTTTAGACTTTTACTTTTTTACTTAGCTAAATTCTTTTGAGATTCATTTACATTATTGCCTGTATTAATAGTTCATTCCTTTTTATTGCTAATGGTATTCTATTGCATGGATATTCAACATTTTGTTTATGCAGTTACCTGCTGATGGACATCTGAGTTGTTTCCAGATTTAGATTATGAATAAAACTGCTATAAACATTCATTTTCAATTCTTTTGAATGAATAAATACCTACAAGTGAAGTTGAACTATATATTGAAGAAAAGACTACCAAATTGTTTTCCAAAACAGTTATATTATTTTACTTTTTCCCCAGCAATATATGAAAGTTTCAGTTACTCCACACCCTTTGTCAATGCAGAATGTTGTCAGCTGTTTTAAGATCAGCCATTCTGATTGGTGTGGATTGGTATCTCATGGTTTTTATTTGCATTTCCCTGATGACTAATAATGTTGAGTATCTTTTCATGTGCTAATTGGCCAAGAATATATTTTCTTTTGTGACACATATGTTCAAATCTTTTGGTAGTTTTTTTTTTTTAACTTTTTATTGAGCTTTAGGAGTTGTTGTAAATTCTGGATAGCATTTTTTGTAAGGTGTATGTATTACAAGTATTTTTTTTCCAGACTGTGGATTTTTCATATTCTTCAAACTATAGAGCAGAATTTTAAATTTGGATGAATTATTACTTTTTCTCCCTTTTTTAAACCATGCTTTTGTGTCCTATATAAAAAGGAATTTTTGCTGACCCAAGGTCACAAAGAATTTTTCCTGTTTTACTCTAGAAATTTTATAGTTTTAGCTTGTGTATTAAAGTCTATGATATATTCTGAGCTGATTTTTTGTATGGGCCCAGTGCAGCAGCACACTTCTGTAATCCCAGCTATTTAGGAGACTGAGGCCAAAGGATCACAAGTTCAAGGCCAGCCATGGTAACTTAGAACTTGACTCAAAATAAAAAATAAGCTAGAGATACAGTTCAGAGATAGAGCACCTCCAGTTTTAATCGCCAGTACCATATACACGCCCCACACACAAAAGCATGTTTTTGGTTAGGGTCGAGGGTCATTTTCCACATAGATAGCCAATATTTAGAATAGTATTTATTGAAAACATTATCCTTTCCTCATTGAGTTACATTGGCGCTGTAGTCTGAACCAGCTGACTATATATTATGTCTACTTTTGGACTTTTTATTATGTTCTAGTGATAATAGTTTTATCCTTTTACAGTCACTTTCCTGGTCATGTTTTAAAACTGCTGTAGGCACACAGCAATCCATTGTTGTTGAAAGCTCTCAAGACATTATATGCTAAAGCCCTCAGGCACAATTCATCCCCTGGCCCCATCCCTAGGAACCCAGAACTCCAGCTTACCATCCTGTGCTCCTCTTTTCTCACAGAAAACAAAGAGATCATGAAAATAACTTCAAAAATTAGTTGGGAAGAAGAGAAAAGGGGGAAAATAAAGATGTGATATCTTTTTTTGCCAGAGTTCTGGTTACTCATGTTAAACTTGGATCAACGAGATGAAGAAAAGAAGATTGAAGGGATATGGCTCCAGGCTTAAAGGGAAAAAACTGGGACTCTAACAAATAAAGGAGAAATGCCCATTTTATAATATAGCAACATAGCAATGGATATTGAGTTACAACATTTTTTCTTTCTTTTTCTTCTTTTTTTGCAAAGCACTGATTTGTTTCAAATTTGTCAGGAACAAAATTACAAGAAAAGTAATTTTGCTCTCAGTAAAATATCTGGTATTCCAGAAGTTTGAAGCAGCTTGCAAAGTCAAAAGGTTAATCTTTAGTTCAGGTCTCCAGAAATTACTATGATATTTAACACTAATATCTAGTTGATTGCTTTGTCTATTGGCAAAGGTAGTAATCTCTAATGAAAACAGATATTTAAAAGTGTGAACAAGTATGTTCATGGTTTTTAAAATCATATTGTCAAAAAAAAAAAAAAAAGTCCCTGCAAATTTTATTTTGCAGTACAGGGAGTTGAACCTGGGACCTCACAAACAATAGGCAAGCCTTCTACCACTGAGCTACATTCCAGCCCAAATTAAAATTCTGAGACAGTGTCTTACTCAATTGCTCAGGCTGGCCTTGAACTTGCAACTCTCCTGCCTCAGCCTCCCCAGTCCTTGGGATAACAGGCATGCAGCACTGCCTACAGCAGACCCTGAATTTTTTTTTTTATCTATCAGATGTTTAGCAATTGTTCATACCAAACAGATTATTTGTGGTTTTGCCAAAAAACAGACAGCATATTAGGCTTTTTCTACTTTAGATACTTTTCTACTTCTATTTGTGCATCATTCAACACTGCAAGACTCACAGAAAATCAAGGTCAAATGAGGAAACTCCACAAATGTTTTTTATCTGGCTTCACTGTTTGACCACTAACTGGCAAACACCATAAGAAAAACTGAGCAGGAGATAAATGATAGGGTAAAAGTACATTTTTGAACATGGGCCCAGGGCCTCATAAAAGAAGCAGGCCTAAGATTTATAAGAAATGATGTGGGAATGAATTCAACGTGCTGAAAAAAAAATCATAGTTTTTCCACTTGACTAGAAAAACTCCATGCTTTAAAACTTTTGGGTAGTAACTTTTTCTCCTGCCTTTGCACTCTACTTAATAAGTTCACTCTACAATCCCACCTGTTGCTATTTTAGGAAAAAACCTTTTAGCTGGGGTTGTGACACAGTGGTAGAGAGTTCGCCTTGCATGTGTGAAGCACTGGTTCGATTCTCAGCACCTCTTATAAATAAATAAATTAATTAAAGACCCATCGACAACTAAAAATATTTAAAAAATAAAAAACCTTTTAGATGCATAGATCACAAATTACTTATTAGCTATATAAAATAATTTTTGCACAAAGGGAGGTCTAAATGCGGTAGAACAAATAAATGTCCACAAACTGGTTAATTTTTGGATGGCTTTTTACTGATGAGAAAAATTCCCTGAACTAAAAATTAATTCATATTTTTATTAACCTCTTCAGTTCTCTTCGTTTAAGAGGTTCTTGAAAGTGTTATAACAGAATATAACAGCATAATTTAAAAAAAAAAAAAAAAAAACACATGACAATCTATTTAAAAAAACAAAAACGAATTCAAGAATGTCAAATAGATGACTTGGGAAGAAAGTAAAAGCCAAAAGGAGCTTCACCTCCGTTTTCCAGGGACAAAAGGACAAATGACTGGGAAGTCACTAGGGGAAGTAGGTGCTTCCTGGATCTAAGAGGCCAGTCTTCAGGCACAGAATGCGAAAGTATGCCGGAGAGGAAAGGGGAACTTTAAAGACTGTCAGTGTGGGATTTCTGACCCCCTCCCCCCACAAAGAAGGACAGAGCTACAAAAGGTGAAAAGGAAGGAGGAAACGGAATCTTTGTTGCTTTTCTTGAGGTTTAACAGCTTTCAGAGCCAAAAGTTGTCCTATTTAGTTCAGGTGTTTGTCATTCTATCTGGAGCTGAAACTCGGGTACAAAACAAAAGTGGAAGAGGAGCTGTCCCGGTGCCGAGCGCGGAGCAGGGCAGAGGCGGGCAAAAGCCCCACCACATGCCCACGGTCCCTACCCCACCACTCCAGTTGTCTCATTTTACAGCAGAAAACAAGCACAGTGAAATGACCTCGGCTCTGTCACGGTACGGAGCCACGTCACGTCTCCGCACACTCACCACTTCCGGGTTTGCGACTAGACTGGGGTGAGCAGAGCTTGGGCGCGGAAAATTCCGCACAGAGGGCTGCGGTAGAGTGCGTGGAGGTACGGGGCGGCGGCGCAGACCCTCCGCCCGGACTGCTCCCTGCAAGGCCGCCAGGTGGCGCCCTCGAACCGCTGCTCGCGCCCGGGAGGGGCGGGCGGGAGAGGGGGGAGGATGCCAGCCGCCTTGGAAACCCAGGGCGCGCGGGCGGCTGCGGAGCTGGTGGGCAGGGTAAGGGGGCTGGACCAGTTTTCTGGCGGCCCTTTATCCGCACCTGGAAGTGTTAAGGGGATGTGGGGAGGCTGGTCCTGCTCGGCCCCTGATCTCCCAGTCTGGGGCTTGCTGTTTGCCGGAATGAGTCTGGGGTCGCGCGCTGGGGTTTCCTGCGCTGGACACCAGTCCCCGGCCGTTGGGAGCTACTGGGGGCGGGGCGGGCGGGGGCAGTCCTCCGTGCCCCACCCCCACCCTGGCCTTCTCCCCTTCGGAGACTGATAGGAAAGCCGGCCTTTGGCGAACTAACCACAACTGACCTCCCTCTCTTTCCGCCTTGTAGTAGAATCCCTGCTCATTGATGCGTTGCTCATTTGTGCTCCTAGATCTGCTCCTGGAGGGCAGGGTCTGACTTAAGGTTTGTAACCTTCAGGGTGCCTCACACAGTCCCTCGCACACAGTTGATGCTCACTTCACTCACACAGTTAGTCCTCCTTAGGCGGTTAAGTGCGGTTTCAGTTGCATGCTGATTGGAAAGTATTACGTGGAAATTTCCAGAAATAAAATGTTGTCAGTTTTAAATAACTTTTACTACAGTATGTAGTTATAATTTTAGTATTAGTTGTTAACTGTGCCTAGTTTATAAACTAAACTTTATTGTAGTTATGTATGTATAGGAAAAAACATAGTATATGAAGGTTTGGTACTAGCCCCAGTTTTCAGACATCCACTGGGTGTCTTGGAACAACATATCTCCCACCAGTTGAGGGTGGGGGGCTACTGTGATGTTTTCCATTTGTATGGACTTCATAACTTGATTCCCAAAGCAATTAAGTCTTATAACCCTGACAGGAATGATGGAGGAAGAAACTGAGGTCAGAGAGGTTCAGAAATGTCTGAGGTTATAAAACACAATGGAGAAAATAGACTGTTTCTCTTAGTGCTTTGCTTACTGAATTCCCTTTGTAGTGAGTGCTTTTTGAATGAGGATCTCACACATCCTTGCAATCTTCAACTCCACAATGCACCTCGCAATGTAGGTACTCCCTATGTGCTCAGTTTGTTGTTGATGACCGTTCACCCCCCACACTCTGAATCTGCAGATTGGCTTTGATTCTTTACTTGAATGCTATAATAGATGTCCTTCAAAAGAGACTACTTGGTTTCTTTCTTTAATGAATTTCTTAGATTTATGCCGAAGTCTGGCTGGGCACAAAATAACCGAGCTGCCACAAAGTCTTGTAGGTTCAAACAGCAATTCTTTATTCCCGAACTCTCACCGGCACTCTACCCACACTTCCAGGAACACACACCCTCCACTGGGCTCCGCGCCAATTCTCCCGGAACCCGATGAGAACTCCAAAGTAGCGGTAGCAGGAGGCAGCAGGATCCACCCTAATCCCAGAGCAGGAGCAGGGTCACCTTTCAACCATTCCCTCTAGCAAAATGCCAGGCGTCATTCCGACTAAACTGTGGCTCTCAACAGATTTATACAGTACATTTTTTGGTTTCCTCACTCCTCTATTCCCCATAATACTCTGATGGGCAGAGGAGGGGGAGGGGCTGGGGTTGAAGAAATGGCTAGAGATGGGGAAAGATGTCACATCTAATACCAAAAAGAAGGCATAACTATGGAACCAACCTAGGTGCCCTTCAACAGATGAATGGCTAAAGAAAGTGTGATATATACAATGGTATATTACTCAGCCTTAAAGAAAAATGAAGTTATGGCATTTGCCAGTAAATGGATTGAACTGGAGAATATTATGCTAAGCAAAATAAGCCAATTCCAGAGAATATTTTCTCTGATATGTAGATGCTAATTCACAATAAAGGGGATGCAGAGAATAGAGGTACTTTGGACTAGACAGAGGGGAATGAAGGGAGGAAAAGGAGTATAGGGGTAGGAATTATAGTAGAATGAATCAGACATTATTACCCTATGTGCATATATGATTACAAGACCTGTGAAACTCTACGTCATGTACAACCAGAAGAATGAAAAGTTATATTCTATTTATGTATGATGTGTCAAAATGCATTGTATTGTCATATGTAACTAATTAAAATAAATTTTTTAAAAAGAAAAGATGGATAGGGAGAGGAGGGTCAGCAAAAGATTCATTTTTGCTAAAGTAATAATCAGTGTCTGTGCTCATATATTTCCTGACATGCATCTACAAGACCTGGTGGTAGTAGGTACTGTTTATATTCACTACTGCTCTCTGAAGAAAGAGAGATACTTTTTGTTCTTCTCCACCATCAGAGTATATAATGTTTCCATTATCCTCTCAGTATTTTTTTTTCTTATTTTTGTTTCTTTTTTGGCATTTTTTAAACTGAAGGGCAGAAGGAGTTGGAAAAAAATGTAGTTCTGATTACTAGATAAGTTAATATAATATACTGCATTTCAAACTATTTGTTACTAGCAATTCTGAATTAGAAGAGAGACCAATTCTTTTATTTTCTTTTTTATTAATACAGATGAGTTATACAGATTAATGGGTTTCACTGTGACAGTTCTAGACATGCATTTGTCACATATTGATCATGTCTACCCTCCCTCTACCCTGTCTCCATCCATGTAATGTCAAAACATTACCTTTTGTTATTGTTGTTAAGTTTCATGAGTGCCTTATATACTCTGGATATTAATCTATGTCAGATGAATGAATTGCTGGCAAAGTTCTGCAGGCTGTCTCTTCACTCGGTTCATCGTTTCCTTTGCTATGTAGAAGCTTTTTAATTTGATACAATCCCATTTGTCAGTTCTCAGAGTTCTATCTAGGAAATTGTTGCTGTGCTCACATCTTGAAGTGTTTCCCTATGTTTTCTCCTGATAGTTTCAAATTTTCAAGTCTTATAATATTAAAAAAAATATTTGACCCATTTTGAGTTGATTTTTATACATGGTGAGAGATAGGGGTCTAGTCTTAACCTTCTACCTATGGATATCCTGTTTTCCCAGCACTGTTTGTTGAAGAGTCTGTCATTTCTCCAGTGTATGTTGTGGCATTTTGTTGAGACCAGTTAGCTGAAGATGTGTGTATTTATTCACGGGTCGTCTATTCTGTTCCATTGGTCTACATGTCTATTTTTATGTTAATGCCGTGGCATTTTGGTACTGTGGATCTGTAGTATGTGTTAAGATCAGGTATTGTGATGCCTCCAGCATTGCTCTTTTTGCTCAGTATTGCTTTGGCTATTGGGCATCTATTGTGCTTCCATATGAATGTTAGGATTTTTTTTTTCTAGTTCTGTGAAGAATAGACCAGTTTTAAAGAATCCAATATAATTTAGGAACGGCAGTTGAAAACTGTGCCAGTGACTATAGGATTTGCATTGGTAAAGAAAATACATGCTAATGTAATGTGTGTCATAAATCATCCAAAGAATTGCTGAAAATGTCATTCATTTAAATACCTGAATTTGAATATACGGGGTTAACATCATTTCTCCAAGGTGGGTGAATTTTAACACCAACTATTTGGGGATCTATACACATAATCTATGTGTGTGGAGAGCTGAAATTCTTAAAAATTAATCCTTAAGTGATATTATTTTTTAAAGTGTTTAAATAATTTTTAAACATGTGCTAGAAGACCATTTCTAATTGTATTAATAATGCATTCTGATGAGCCAAAATAAACCTTTTCTCCAAGTTAAAACTTGTTTCTTGTATAAGTGAAAATTTGAGTTTAAAAGCAGTTTTACTTATCAAATTTAGGGTAAATACATTATTATTAACAAATAAATAAGGCCATTGGAGAAGAAAGTTATTATACATTATGTGCAAGTCAGTCATTTAAATCAAATGTTTATTGAACATCTGGTTTGTGTCCATGAGATATGCTGGCCTATGTGCTAAGATCTATATTTGAATACCCCAAATAAGAGTTTGTTGAAGTAGTATTGTTCAGCATTAAATTATATTTTGTTGAAGATGAGTGCCATGAATGTTTATGATTTTATTTGTTTGTTTTGGTACTAGGGATTGAACCCAGTGGCGCTTAACCACTGAGCCATATCCCCAGCCCTCATGAATGTTTTTGAATATGTATTTCCTTGCAATTAACACTATGCCGAGTTCTATGTCTTTTTAGTTACAATGCTCTTTAACAAGTTTATGGAAGTATTATGTTATTATCACTACTGCTACTATTATCAGATTTACATAAGTTTATAGCTAGTTAATGGCTGAACCAGGCCTAGAATTTAAGACACCCATATGGAGATCTTTTAAATACCTCATATTCTCATCCCCTGATGGAATCTTATTCAGAAAATTTTGTCATTATTAATACTATTAGGTAAATATCTTTAATTTTAATCTACATTTATTTAAAACATTATTCACCAAATAGCAGGCTCCATTTCATAAGTCCAGAATGTTATTAGGGAAGAACTGTCATCTCTCCCAACATCAACAAAATTGTGAAAGGAGGCATTCAGAGGCTTCTGGACATTTATGACTCTGTACATACTTATGAAAAGATCATTAGGAGCCTTCTAAATATTGAGGCAGGCCCCGGAGACTACAGGATGGGATACATTCTTGTCTATGAGTAAATGTTCAGTCTAAGAATTATATATTGGCCAAATTCTATTGTTACATTGTGTCCATATTTGAAAATGTCACAACAAATCCCACTATTTATGTACAACTATAATGTACCAATAAAAAATATTAAAAGAAAGCATTATGGGCTAACAGTACATTTGAAGAGAATGATATATATCCATTTTTACTAAATAGACCTCTTTTCACTGAGAAGCTTTAGGGAATTTATTTTTTAACATTTTCTGAAATAATGATTGTGGAGTAGACTCAGGAAAGCTGGAGGCCTGAATCTTTCAAACCCAGGTTGCTCACCTGCCAGGCCCCCCCCACCCCCCGCCCCACTCCATGATGAGAATTACAGTGCCCAGAGTTGGGTGCAGGAAAAGCACAGGAGCACAAAACAGAAAGAGGTCATGATTTTGCTAAAGACTTTTGAAGTTGTTCATTATTTTGTTAAAGTGTGGCTACTTGGGTGTTTCTTGCTTCCCAACAGTCTGAGCAGGGATCTTACCTTTTCTGTACAGCCAAGGGCCAGGTAAAGTGCCATGCACAGAGCAGGCTCTGAATAGATGTTTGCACTTACTGACAAAAAGATTAGGTTTCCATTTGTTAGGAGTTATTCTAAGTGTAACCTTCCTAGAAGATAATGACATTTACTTTGTGAATATTTTTCTAGGATTCTCACCCCTTACTGTGATAAATCCTTTGGGCGGTTAGGAACTATAATTTTTGATGAAGGACCCCATTGTTTTAAGACATTATCAAATACAAAAGTACATTTTGAGGTAGTGTCATTAACTCATTGCAAAAATGCAATGGTCAAACAGGCAATCCAGTTGGCTTACTGATTTTCTTGGAAGTGTGTGGAACAATGACCCTTAATATAGCTTATGGATAAATCACTTGTGTTTTAGTGGACTGCATTTCACTCATATTTTATTAAAATCTCGCTGTGAGCTTCAGTTAGGAAACTAATTATACACAAGAGAGTTAAAAGCATATGGGCCAGGTAACTGAAGTAATTGAACAAGATGGTCATTTCTCCTCCAGCCCCAGATGGGTACCACAGGTAGAGACTACAACATTTGGTCTCTTCTATATGATTCAGAAAGATATTAAATGTTGACCTTTGCTTTAAGTTTTATTTTTTTATTTATTTTTTAATTTTTTATTGTTGGTTGTTCAAAACATTACATAGTTCTTGATATATCATATTTCACACTTTGATTCAAGTGGGTTATGAGCTCCCATTTTTACCCCATATACAGATTGCAGAATCACATCAGTTACACATCCATTGATTTACATATTGCCATACTAGTGTCTGTTGTGTTCTGCTGCCTTTCCTATCCTCTACTATCCCCCCTCCCCTCCCCTCCCCTCCCCTCTTCTCTCTCTGCCCCCTCTACTGACATTCATTTGTCCCCCTTGTATTATTTTTCCCTTTCCCCTCACTTCCTCTTGTATGTACTTTTGTATAACTCTGAGGGTCTCCTTCCATTTCCATGCAATTTCCCTTCTCTCTCCCTTTCCCTCCCACCTCTCATCCCTGTTTAAT